TCTTCACCGATCAATTCTAGATTTATATGTCGTGAAGGAAGGTAAGAGAGAGAGAGAGAGAGAGATGAACAGTAACGCAAGAAAGTGAAACACATGAGAGAGAATTCAAGGCATGCCTTTGAACAGAGAAAGGTGAAAGCTGCTGCTTGCTTCTTGTCAACGATCAAGTGGCCATCAACCGCTATCTTTCTCACAATTATATGTGCAATATAAATCAAAGGAAAAAACGAAAAATTATGAGGCTGTCATGTTCTTTCCTTCCCGACTATTCTCTCATTTCTGTATAGAGAATTATTCACCACGCAAAATCATTGCGAATTAGAATGCTTGGGATTTAAGACACTAAATCGGGTTGCCATCCGTTGGAGGGAGCAGTGTCATACACGCCTCCACAAAGATAAAAAATGGCCTGATGCAATCCACTGTTACTTGAAGTATAACAGATATGACTTAGATAGAATACGGTAGTTGACTCTTGAAGAACAAGTGAGTAACTGTATGACTCAAATATGGTAGTTGACTTTTGTTGTCAAGATACTACCTAATAGGATTACAAAATTACATCGACTGCTACACTCACAATAAGACCCAATATGGCACCAACCAGAACCTGAACCTCTGTATGACCAACCGATTCATTCAATAGAGGGTAATTGCTATACTTCTTCAGTAATGGCACTTTAACGTTTACTTTTGGGCTTGGCATGTCTACTTTGGTGGATGTAATCCCCGGTCTGAGAAATGAATAAGATTCTGAATTTTGTCCGTACGACTCTGCCTTCTCCGAAATGGAGGCAAACGGAGACATCTTCTCACAATTCACCGAGGAACTTCGAGAACTAGGACTTTGCACATCGTCCTCTTCTTGGGAACTTAGTATCTTATTAAGAATCTTAGCATGAGAGCCCACCTCCCTTCTGACACCCTGAATTTGACAAACCAAGGAAAGGGAAACATCATACTTTGAGAATAATCAAGTGCATAAAGATTTTTTGCTTCAACAAATAACTTGAAGAGGAAGCGAGCCAATGAATAGCTGATCATATATCACAGCTAGTGTAATCACTCAATTTTAGTATGACATCATCGAGTCACCAAATATTTTGAAGGACAAAAACATAGTCAACAGTTTCTAGTAATTTTAATTTGGTGACAGACCACTCGAGTACATATCTTTTATTTTTCGAGGAAGTGATCATCATTTCAAGTGGTGTTCATTTGGGTAAATCACTTTTCCCTTTACATATTCTATATCTTTGTCAAGACCTTTGTGATATAAATTTCATTGTTTTGATCATCTAAATGCAACAAAGACTATCACATGCATATGCTCTCAACAAATTCAGTACCATATTTTGCCTCTTCATTTTACATGTAAAGTTTGGTGAAGCTAATCTTTTGCCAGAAGTAGCTAAAAAGATCAAGAAAAAGAGATGAAGAAGAAAGCTAGAAAAGATTGAAGCAAAGAAAAGAACAAAGAAAGCATGAAAAGACTAAAAAATTAATGGAAGGGAAAAAGACTAAGGACAGGATGATACATATACTCCCCAAGCATAACTCTAGAAACTCTGTAGTAATGTTTACATGTTATTGTATAGTGGCATAAGTAAATCCCACTAGTAGCTTTGCGTTTGTCACAACTCGATCTGATGGATCTACAAATTTTGATGAACCTGAAATACTAGTCCAAAATTCTAAAGCCCAAGTTAATAGCATTACATTAGATCCATTGCCCACTCCCGATGTGGGACTCAATTGAGGTGTTTCTACATTTGTTAGAATTTATAAATTAGAATAGATAGCAATTTCAAAATTTTGTATCAAACACTTAAACATATGATTGAAACCCAAAATTCCATAATTCAACAAAATGTTGTTATATTCATCCAGTAATATAACATCTCCTAATGCAGCTGGCTAAATACGTAATTGCCATGTATATCATAGCCCTATGAAAATTTAGTAACACTTCATTAAAGAAAAACACAGAGAAACCCTTCAAAAAAGTGTTCAAGAACATATGGAAATAACTAATAAAACAATTCACTATACTAACATATCCCCACTGCTAATGCTTATGTTTCACTAGTTCCAAAAGCAGCACATACTTAATAACTATATAAATAATACAGATTGATGCAGCAAAGCCAAGGAGCTTTGCATAAAACAGGAGTTACATCCCTCAACCATGAAAGATGAAACATAAAATAATATGGATGGCAGGAGACCGAAACAAAAGAATTGACGAATTATGACAGACACTAAACCAAATAACATACTGAAATGACACTGATTTACCTGCGCATCATACATGACGAGAAAAGCAAAGACCACAGACATGCCAAAAATTGAGTCCGAGAATCCCCTGCATTCTAAAAACGACCATAGTTACACAAGACCAATACAAAGAGACCAATTCCTTGCATCAAAGATTTCCCTGATGTCCGGCTAAAATTTGAAGACAGTGATAGTAATTAACCGCTGGGGAATTAAACCAAACAGTTTCCGAGCTTACCTCTCTAGGCCAAGCGAAGTTGCCGCAGCAGCAACAGCCTAGATGCCGAACACATTTCATCAAAATACCCTCAGAATTCAACGCCATCAATACAGAGGAACCAAAAAGAAGAAACAGAAGAAACATGTCTCACCGCGGAATGTGTGGACGGCATGCCACCCGCACTCACCGCCGCCCAGAGGTCGATGCCCTTCCCAGTTCGGATCGCCGACGTCAGCGGCTTCGAGAGCTGCCCAACAGCGCCGGAAATAGCAGCCGCCACCAGCACCTACCAGATGGGAAAGAACCGCAACACAGTGAGGCAAAAAGCTCACTGTCCTCTCGCCGGGAGAATCGGACTCGCGCGTACCTTGTTGTGGGCCAGCTCGGCGAGGTCTTCCACTCCGAGGCGTAGAGAGGAAGTGATGGCAGCTCTGGCTCGTCGACGTGGGAGAATTAGCTTCTTGGAATGGTGGGGAAGAAGGAGAGGAGCTACGAGTAGAGACGCAGAGGAACACGACATAGTTGGAATCGCGCAATGGTTTCCACGGAAAGGAACGGAGATAAACAAGTACCCGCGCTTCGTAGTTCGGCAGCTGCGTTCGCCGTTATCTGCGACGGTCGGGCGACTTCATCCCCACCACATGCTCGAGCTATTGTGGTATTTGACACACCATGTCGGGTGAATGGATTCAAAAAGCTAACGGGTCCATGTTCGGCACCCGTTTCACGAAATAGGGTTCCGGGTTTTGCTCTCCTTAACACTCGACCGGAAAGCATTGACGGGTTCGGATACGAGATCCGCGCTAGGGATTTGGATTCGGGTTTCAGCCAGATCCAGACTTGGCCCAGAAACAAGATGAGTTCCAACACCAAGTGACCGCTGTTTAGGCTGCATCTTCCATAGCACTTTTAGAAGAAATGCCAGTGAAAAAGATCAAGAGCAAACATTAAGAAGTCACCATCACAAGAATAAGCTTCAACTGAGCATCTCAAGGGCTTGTTTAGAAAGAAAATAACATCTTGGCAATGTCGCATCAATCTTGGAAGAAATGCAGGAATGTAACAATATTCAGGTTTAAACCTCATGTTCTGGAGAAAAATAAGGATGGTCCAAAGACAGACCATTAATGTACTTGGAGATGTCATCACAAAACTCCAGTGTAGTATTATTCAGGAGGGTGAGGAACAGCTCTGCCCCCACATCACAGTAGCATTAAAAGCAACCACCCAACTGCAAAAAAAATGTGTTAGAATTTCTTCTTTCAACACAGGTACAACAAAAAGGATCTTTGCTAGATGATCGATCTGGATTCTTAAATGATCAATCAACCTCTACCGGTAAACCTAGGTAGTTATAAGTCAGATGATTTGACTTCTAACAAATATGCATGCAAAGATTTACCAGAGCTAGTGAATCGCGAAGAAACATAATAGTATATTGTCCAATATCCCATGTAATGCAGATTTGAGAAAGCTTGAAAAAAAAAAAAATGACATCACATAGGGAAAAAAGAGATTATGATTGTATAAAGGGGAATCAACCAAATGAATATTCATTTTTAACTGTTGAAAACATAGAAGAGAAGAGGAAAGAAAAGGAACTCAGACTTGAAAAAAGAATGAGGTTAAATTTCAGGAGAAGTACATAAGCTATCCCTCAGAAAAGAAAGAGACATTCCTGCCCCTGCAGTAAACTGGTCAAGACAAATGTTCTAAACTGAGACTTCAGGTCAGAATTAATAGCACATGGAGACTAGTTATCCAGCAAATGCTCCCTACTAGTCAAATACATATCGTACACCTCACAGAAGAACAATACACATGTCGTAAATTAGATGAACTATAAACTCGATGAAATATTCTTGGTAGGATACAAGACTCCTAGATTCAGCACAAACAAACACTTTCTGAGACTATATTAGCACCATTATTTAGACAGGTAACCTTATTGCATTAAATAAACAAGATAGTGAAGAAAATTTTCATCAAGAACAAACAACCAGAGAAAAAAGGAAACAGAAAATGCTTGACTGCTCTATTATAAAGTCTTGATAGATACATACATATGAAGCAGAACTCGAGGAAAGAAATTTCACATACCAAAATAGCCTCGATCTCTTTATCTGAGACTGGTGTGCGCTTTGGCAAGAGTGAAGCCTTTCCACCTAAGGCAGTGTTAGAAGGTGGAGCAGGAACATCTGATCGGAATCTATAACTTGGGGTGTCACCAGATGATGTGGCAACCTTGGGTTGGGGCGGCGTCACATCTAAACATGGAATACATATATAAATTACCAGAGTAGAGTAAAACTTGCTCCATTATGTAAAATACACTGAGTCTAGGCTACTTACAAATACAAATAAATTACCAGATAAATACAAGTACAAACATAGGAGAAAACGAATATAAATAACACTGAATCTAGGGCTCTGTGATGTAAAATCATGGGATTCAAAAAAGCACAACCATTGTTTCATTTTAGAGGGTCAAGTGAACGGTTCTTGTTTCAAGGGGTTGGCATTGAAGATGTTACTATCATTACTATGATAAACTTAGTGCTACATTTTGTGCTGGAATAGGGCTACAGTAATTATATCCATAGTCTGTGGGTCAAGATGGATTTCTCTTGTTAAAATCAAGATTCTTCAACAACAAACATTAACCTATTTTTATTGTCAAAAAAACAATAGATAGATGCCAGACAAAATAAGAAAATCTTGAGGATGCTTCTTTGGTTCAAGGAAGGACAACAAAGAAAGGGGCTAGAGATTTACAATGAGAGTTGAGGCTGAAGGAAAAGAGGAAGATGACAATGAGGAGTTGGAAGCTAAATGAAGAGTGGTCAACATGATGACCAATTTGGGTTGTATTTGACGCTTATAACGAACGACCTTTGCACCCATCAGCTCTAAGTACATACAAATTCATAATGGAGGTACTTCTTTCTGCCCATGAGATATTTCAAAATGTGATATTTCAAGCGGATAAAGTAGTAGAAACCAAGATATAATTAGCTTAAGTGCAAAAAACACTAAGTCTCAAGCAGAAATTTTGTAATTGTTTCCAGAATTAATTATGTTCGAGGGAGAAAATCATACTGTGCATAGAAATGTTAATTACGAAATGATCTGTATAGCATTTTGTGGATAGAGCAGTTCTGTAATTGAGAACCTGCTATGCATTTTGAGTTCTGAAATCAGCAGAATTACCTATTATTATCCATAGTTAATAGATTTCTTTTCATGGTAAATAAAATGTAATTAAGAATATGTCAGCCTTTGGGAGACAAAAAAGTTAACTAAGTCCATTATATTCCTCAATAATTATATTTCTACACAACAACAATATAAAATTCCTTCTTCTCCTTCAATTTTATGGGCATTATATTCATGAACCACAGTTCATGTCGTCCTACAACCATATTTTAATAAGCATTCAATTAACTCAAAAAGCGAGATAACTGTTGTCAATTACAAGAACCGAAATCCCAAATTCAAACAAAGAACCAAATTTTCACGCCAAAATAACCCCGCTACCAATGATAACATCCGATAACCACGACCATTCCATTCTTCCATTCGAATCAGAACAT